GGGAACCTGCTTTAAAAGTAACTTAACCGTCGTATAAAATCCCTTTTCTGCCACAATGTTTTTCCGTTGTTCGTCCAGCGAGAATTTTCCAACCAGCCAAGAAAACTAACCGCAAGATACGTACGCGAGAAAAAGGGCTGGCAGTTGGTTCCGTGGTCGTAGCATTTCATGGCCGGTCGGTATAAGTTAACGACTATGCTCCAAGAAGGATAATTAAGGGGTAATTAACGGTGGCCACACGGCAATTCGTCTACCGGCTCTATGTAAAGCGCAGGAGAACTCGCTCCCGACAGTCGCTTCATCCGAACCCAACTTTCAAACTGGGTCACTAATGTAAACGACGCTAAAACACGGTATTCTAATTTCTCTCGTGTCTCGCGAACATTGTACAGGAATATTATTATTCTTCCTTGAACAAATCTGCGATCGTTCTTGAGAATCACCAATTGCAAATTGATCACTTGTGTCATTAGGTGACATACCGTCAAGAAACTTAATTTCTAACATTTTTCTAATATATTTATGACGAATATTTATTCCGAAAAATTGTTAACTATCTTGAAAGATCACTTATTATTTTTTAATGACTCGAGTAATTTGAAATTAATCCTTCTGCATTTTTCATTTTGAAAGTTTAATTGTAATTTAATTATTATTATTATTATTTGAATAAAAAACTAATGATAAATCATGGATTTATTTATATAACAATGAATCTTTTGGATTTGATTAATTTTGTCTAAAATTTGAAAAGTGTAATTTAGCCTGGGTCAATCGTGACCCAAATGTACAAAACATGTACAAGGATAAATGTGCAATTTTTAAACGAATGAATTTCATGTATTAGAAGAATAATTTTTAAAGGAATAGTGTAAAATTTAGAAAATGAAAGTAATATGAAGTACAAAATTAAACTGAAATTGTGGCTCTCTCCATGGTCCGCCGTCCTAGCGTTAATATACTCTGGCTCTGGGGTCCAGGATTGGGTATCGGAATTAACACTTTCCAAAAAGCAATTTTCCTTTGATACAGTGACTATATCATAATTAATACAGTTCTGAATATTTTTCATTCTCTCGATCCACAACGGTGCACAGAGAAACTTTAACCCCTACGGGGTTAAGTTTCATCGAATTTTTCCACGCTGAATAATTGGAGAGCATCTACACGCGAGAACGTTATCCACATTTTAATTATTTTCACGCTTAATTTGCCCGCCAGAGATTCGACACCTGCTCCTCGATATTTTCTGCGGCACCAACATGCACATAATTGTGGATTAATGAAAACTAGAGCAAGCTCGGGTTATTACACTCGAATCATTCGTACGGCACTGCCTTTGCAATATTTGTTTTTTAAAATTGAACTATTCACGAAATAATTCTAAAATCGTTGATATTTTATTAATCGGGTGAAAATATCCCATTATGGAGTATGCAAAATTTATGCAGGAGAATTTTCACAATTTCCAAACCATGCTCCGTGAAAATCGTGTTATACAAGGATTACATGTACTTCGTTTACTTCCTTTGCAACTGCTGTTTGCCAAACTTATTTCGTGACTTTTGCACCGGGAGTAGTTTGTTACTGAATTTCCCGTAATTGGTTGTTTCGACGTTCTTGCGTATCTTCTTTTGTCTACTTCTCGTTAGCGTGAACTTGAAGAAAATCTTGTAGTTAACGCATGAGAAGTTTCCAAGTTAATTCGAGCAAATTGAAGTACCGTCTGTTCCCATCTTTGGATACGTTGTTTACAAAATATCGAGCATCCTTTTGTGCACTTGCGGCTTTGTTTCATCGAGGAAGAAATCGTCTCTCGAAACGTGTACATTCTATCGTTACTCTTCAAATATTTGCTTTAATTGTAATTACTAATTTTGGAATAAAAAATTCTGCTACCTCGGAGTTGAAAATATTTAAAAAGGAAATTCGAAATGTTAAAATTTCAAAGATACGAAATTTCACCTTTATTAAAGTACATAATAGAAACGAAATCTCTTTTTCTCTTCGTGGAAACTGTAGGTATGAAAAATATAGGAGAACGGTAATCGAAATGGAATGATAAACGAGTGGCAACCGGGCCGAGTTTCAGGGTGAAATTATTTCGACGAAAGAAGGAAAGAAAAGTGAAAAAGAGGGTCGACGCTCGTCGAAGCCTCCAATTAATAATATGTTCGCGAACTGTCACACGCACTTGAATGTTTATTCGTCCCTGTGCATTAGTATTTGTCCCGCTATTTCGTCAAATTTCCATCAGCCCGACAAGGCTCGTTTTTCATGCGATAATAACGTGCATTTATTTTTGCTAATTTCGAAGAAAATTCTGATATTGAAAATTCTAACACTTTAACTTATAGAATTTCAAAGAAACTTATCAATGTTACATTCCTTTTTATTAGAAAAAGAAAACGATTAGAAAATTTCTAGAATTTATTAGAACTGATCGTTAGAAAAATGTTAGACCATTAGAAAATAATTAGAGGAATTTTAATTAGAAAAATGATAGAATCGCGCAGTTCTTCAGAAAACTGACCACAGTTTGAAAGCATGTGATTGGTTCAAAAGAATAGAAAGGTAAAATTGTAGAAAAACTTGAAAAGCGTCGATGCTCACCGCCTTCCGTAGCAATAAATAAACGCGATAAGCCGAGCTAGGATGTTTGCGAACGTTTTACTATTACTTTTCCATCCTCCCACCATTATTCTTCATCGTTTACGTGTCACGATGAACGATCGACCCTGGACCCATTGCCTCGATTTACGACCTATACTTACAGCTCTTGTTCGAGCCCTGTTTCCTGTTTATTGCGACTCGTTTAGGGCTGATTTTCTGTGATCACCCATTTATCGAACATCAGCGTTCCAATCAATCGTCAATTAAAAACATTTATCTCTTCCTCGCGTAAGATCATTTCAATTTCAAAATATTTAATTTGAATCAGATCAATGTTTCTCAAGGAAAAATAAGAATATAGTGATAGAGGAATTTTGAAAATTTGAATTTTGACAATATTAACCCATTAGCTTCCACGATCCCCATTTGGGGATTTTGGAATTTTACGTACACCACTCGGCGCCAAAAATATGCATATATATATAACTTATCCGGCCAAAAATTAGAAAAAAAAATTTGGCAGTTAATGGGTTAATGTTAAAAGTAATTTAGAAGGCTGAGCAGAGTATTCATACATAGGTGTGATAATTAATGCCGCTGCAGTGCTGCGGGCCAAGAAGTTGAGGACAGGTTGGTAGCACGAGCCAAAACCAAATATTCCTAGAGTCTGTGTATCCGGTATCCAGGGTATTCGGGTATTAGTTCGACACGTACCAATTATAAGCTGGCAAACGAGTCATTTCTAACGCGTTCGCGGCAGGAATATTGCAAACTCCGAAATAAACGATGAAATAGAAAAGCCAATATCTTATCATTGAATAATTTCTTTCTAATTTTGAAAAAAATATATTTCATTTTCCTATAATACCGCAATAAATATAATCTATCAAACGTATTCATAAGTGATTCATATCGTGTATCTGCTGATTAATTTACAGCTCAGTGTGTTAATTCCTGGATATCAAAGTAGGATTCGGGTCAGAGGCACATTACAACTCCCCGATGAAATTATCGTCATAACGGATATTTCATGTTGATTCTACCCTTTGCCTTCTATTCGACATTATAATAACTTAATAACCTGGCGAGTAACTCGGCAACAAACGTAAAATGCAACAGCCCCTCGTTACAATGGCAGACGAACCTCGACGATTACACGTATTCAATATTTCATTCGGTGCATCTGCTTCACCCGTTGTTTCGCGAATCTTACGTAAGCCTCCATTTGCTTCGTTCGAATTTCACCGACACAATGGACACAATGGTCGGTAACTTTGCAAAGATGAATTGAACCAATTAGAACGTTGGTACACTTTGTTTCCTTTGTGCGTTCGACGTGAATTCTCTGGTATATTTCAATTAATACCAAGACCCTTTTATAAAATTATTTTCAGAAATGAAGGTCCCTTCGAACCGAGCAAAAGGATTACGAAATGATTCACAAAGGGAATTCTGATCAAGTACCATTCGGGAAGAGTTTACTGTGCTCTGAAATCTTTGAAAAGTATCGATATAGATAAAAGGGACGCGTGTTTCGTAATTACAAGCAATCCTCCCTCTTTTTTTTCCCGATGAAAGGTACCGATGGTCCAAAAGATCCATGGTGAAAAGAGGAACGTAAATTATAGAGGGGATCGAGTTTGATGGAAGGACAAAGTGGCGTGAACCGGTATCGCGTACGATGCAACGTAATGGAACATTGTATCGAAGAGCCCTGAAGAGGTGAACGCAGCTGGCGGATATTCAGATTAATCGAGGAGGATGAGATGGATCGTCATTCGAAAATATCTTCTTAAGCTACATAGACAAGATAAGCTTATTTTATTGGAAACGTTTGATATAACGCTAGAAATAATTAGGGGATCGAGACGGATTCCTCGCGCGATAATTTGAGAGCAATTAATGTTGGTTTCGTAATTAAGGGACGTGTTACCTATTTTCTATATTTTAGTTGCGATATCATTTTGCGTTTCGTGTGATAAAAAATATTAAATCTCTTTTAATACTCCCATGTGTAAGGAGATATGTTCATTAAGTTAAAAGTAATCAAGGTACTCACGTATACTGGGGATGTAGGAAGGTAATTCACTTCTTTGAAGATTCCTTTTCATCGCAGCTTCTTAATTATAATGGCACCTGAAACACAAAGAGGAGAATGCTAATTAAATGGATGTAAAGTATAAGGATGAAACACAGAATTAGGTACTAATGAATCATACAGTATTAAGAAAAATTATTAAGGAATTTAGAATAAGTGTTAAATAAAGTGATTGCAAAAAGACAGAGTGTCAATGATTTCTTAAAAAATTAACAAAAACTCCGTCCCTCATAAATATAGAAAAATAGAAAGTATCCATGAAAAATAATTGAAAGATTGTTATTTACAGGTGTATCAAAACTGCAGAAAACAAATGGAAGCTAAATCTTCTTTCGCCATAAATTCTGTATCAATCGAAGGGTAAAAAACAAACAAGAAGGGGATGAAGAAGAAAAAGGAAATTCTCGTCTAAACACGACATGTGGGAACAGCTTTTTATTTGTCGGATCAATTTAAACGAGACGAAGGCACCGATTCGATAGATTTTCACCGGTTAAATCCCTGTCGTGACGGTATTGAGAGTGGCTGCTGGGATTCAGGGATGGATTTCAATGGACCGGCAAGACCTCGCGTTCCCCCGGGGGGTGACATTTCGCGGATCCGTCTTAACGAAGCTTGCTGCTGCTTTACTATGCACGTGTAGTTAGGCATAAATCCATCCACCGAGAATCATTAGGCGGTGAAATAAAAAGGATTGCCGGCTTTTCAAGGACGCGTGGGAGATGCTGGATACGCTAGATTGATTCGACACCCCTAGAGAGACATTAAAAGGGAGTGCTTCGAATGTAATTCGTGAGAGGGTAAATTGTATTCGTAAACGAAAGCTATTAATCCTTTCTACTAAATACAAAGTGTCCTAAAATGAAGAAAATATTTTCTAAAAATTACCAATTAACGAAAGTGAAATCAAATAATTAAAAATAATATTAATCCAACTTTGATATAATAAAACACATCAAAGTTACTGAAATTTTAAAAATAAATATTTCATGAAAATTGTTCACTTTAAATTCTAAAGCTAGGCTCGCGTGAAAGAGAAAATCTTCCCTTTTAAAATACCTGTCACCGCATGTTGATAGCAGTTTTCGTTTTCGAGATATCATCGTTTAAAGAGAGACATGTGCAACTCTCACTCCCACGCGTATTGACCTGGGCCACCCTACGCACACGTGAGGCAGGTCATTGACAGGCACTGAATGACTCATCGTTTTTTACTACTGCTGTTACTAGACGTACGCACTTCCAGGGGAAAATGTGGGTCACGATATTTCCAGGAATTTCGTCGACCGTTCATTACTCCTTCGTAGTATATTCCACTGTATCTCTGTAATGAATTGCAATACGAACTTTGAACAAAGCATATTTCCATTGATAAACTTCATTCCACATGTTCAGAGTGTTTCATTTTATAATTTGGAATTGTTTTTCAGGGATACTGCTAGAAAAAAGGGAAATAATAAGAAAATATTATCTACGTATCTTGATGCAATTTAATGAGAAAAGGTAAAAAGAAATAATGAAAGGAGGGATGTGAATTTTACATAAATCCAAGGTTTAAAGGAAAGCTGAGTGAGAATGAATTTAAGAGGGCATTTAATGGCATGAAAGTTAGAAGGATGCAGCTTTAAATGCAACTATCCCTTCGTTCTTCGATAGCTCATCGTTTCTCCTGAAAATTGTTCGTCCAGAGTTAAATTCACCTTATCCAAGTCGTGTCTCGTTATTCTCCTTCGGGTCAACGAAAATATGAGACTTTTTTGAAACTCGCCAGGCTAAGTGGAATTTAACCCTTGCTCCACTTCGCCCGTTTAAAAACGAGGCTGCGTTTTTGTGAAGAAGCGTTACATTTTTAGAATTTCCAAAGATAAATGAATTTTGATACAGGGGAATAAAAAGAACCATGCTTTTCTAATGGGAATTTTCTTTTACCAATACATTCGTTTATCCTATTTAATTTTAACACAAATTTCCAACATTTCGATTATTTCTTTTAATAATACAGGAAGCTAGATTTGTATTTTTTTTAAATATTCACAGTATATATGTTGAATGTATTTTAAACATGGAAGAATGTTAAGAATTTTGCAGTTGTATTTTGAGAGTGAAATAATAGAATAGTTTTAAATATTCTAAGATCCTTGAGAGATTTAAACGCAAAGTGGGATATCCTCGTATTTCTAACAATATATGACTTAAGCTGCATTTACAAGGGAACTTCCTAATGGCGGCAAAGTTTACCTGAGCAAGCAACTCAAAATCGATCCGACATCCCTCATGAAAGATACATCGTGAACACGGCAACATCTATCAAGCCCTATTTAATACTTCAACGATAGATAAACTCGAAAATGACTTGTAGATATACCTTTGAGACCAAATTTGCTGTGTACGCTTGATATCCGAACGTTATTTATTCAATCATTATCCAAAAGCAAATTTTAACAAAGTTACATACTGACAATATTTAATGATATAAAAGTTGCATAAGAAACACTTATTCTATACCAATTTGAAGCTTAAAATTTACTAAAAATGATTACATAAATGATTCATCAATATTCTCGATACAAAATGGCTGGTTGTCAAAATGGCTGATTTTAAAATATACAAAATTTGATGACATAAAAGTATCATAAAATGGCACTTATGATACATCAAATTAAAACTTGAAATTTACTGAAACTGACTATATAAATGCTTTTGTAATATACTTAATACAAGATGAATGATCGTGGATTGCAACGAACAATGTTATTCTACTACATCTAATTTTCAAACATAAAAGCTCTAAAACTGTTTCATCGTATAAAAGTAAAAATAAACTAAAACTAAATTAAAAATTGATATTTTCTAAATAAAATGTGATACACGGTAGCAGCTTGTTAGTGGCAGGAAAGACGGTAAATAAACGGAAGCAAGTAAACTGGTCAGTGGTGGAAAATCGAATGGCCAAGTCAAGCCCCGAGGCGGATTAATTTAAGGGTCAGATAAATCATTCCACTATCTCTGTAGCCACGACAAAAAAAACATTTATCTCCGGACGAACCTGGCCGGAAGCGGTATTCTCCAAAACTCGCGGTTATAATCTGTACTGATCATTATCCGTGAAAAAGGATACAAAGACTGATAGAGTTGTGTTTTTCGAATCGTTTCTTTCTCTATTTACAATAATAAAAAGGAAAAACAGAAAGAATCATATTGAATTATACTGATAATAAATATTCAAAACTAGTTGAACTTTAATCACGTTCTCGTCGTAAATTAAGAAAGCGCGAACTTTGCACAATTAAGAAGATAATAAATGAACTTGGAAGATAAATTTCAAAGTCGTTAAAACGACACATGAGGTACAATTTAGCGGTCCAATTTTTCCAAAATCCACACAAGAAATTCCTTGCAAGATTCTCTTGTCTTTTCTCAACAGGAATTTCAACAGGGTAGAAGAGAAAGAGCAAACAAGGTTTGGAACACAGGTAACAAAAAGATAAACGTACAAAGATTCCAGGCTGCTTTTCCTTCTCTTTTTCTCGACAAAATTTTAGCCAGAGAGAAGAGAAGAAGAAAACGTCATGAAGAGGACGAGTTAACATCCTGTACAGCTTGAAGAGGAAAGGAGCCATAGGGTTAACGGTTGAGGAATATACAGGATGGTTCACTTGATTTGATCACCTCAACTATCTCTATTATTTATAGACATAAATAAATTCTAATTTAAAAAATATATGATATTACGTGGACCATAATATAAAGTTAACTCTATTTTTAATTGACTCTTTTCCTAAAAAAGTAGAAAATATAATATAATACATTTTTTAGATTATAAACTGTAATTTTATTCTGGCCCTGGGTCGTGACCAAAATTTATAAAACATATTTAAGGACATTATCCTAAAGTTAAATGTATCATTTTTAAACAAAGAAGTTTTATGGATTGGAACAGTAATTTTTAAAGGGATAGTATAAAGTTTAGGAAATAAAATAAGGGCTTTCTCCATGGTCCGCCGTCCATCAAAAACTGTATACGTTATCCTGCACTTATCAGTAGCTTGTATCCAATGTATTCGATCGTCTATCGTCAAATAACGAGTAGAAACGAGCGATCGAACAAAGGAAAAGAATTTGTTAGGAGACATAAACGAAGAAACGGTTGGTATACAGGGAGACAAGAAGAGGAAGAAACGAAGTTAACAAGTTCGAGTTAATAATGCAGCAGCAACGAGTGCAATGGCGATCCGCAGAGTACACAGATAGCAGAGTCGTTCCATCTTCAGGAAATTGAGAATCTCTCGGGTCAACGGAGCAAAAACGGAAGAAAGTGGATCCGAATGAAAGACTAATAAGTCCCTGCCACGATTTATTGTTCTCCGACCTCACTCGTTCGTGGCTCGCGTTAATGAATTTATCATTTTATTGATAGACATCCTTTGCCTCATTCTTTTACCAATTCCCATCCATACAAAAGAGAATCTTTATTCCTTTACATTTTCCACGTTATACAATTTATCCAAATATAAATTGTCACTCTATAAATTTCAATTTGAAAAATTCCAATTAAATAGTTAAAAGTATTATCACCAGAGATACGATTTTCTCCACGAAAATAACACTAAAATAGCAAACAGCCATCGTGGTCGCCTTTATAGTACGACAGTGCCGTATCGTTACTTTCCTCGTACCCTTTTTTTTTACGACAACTAAAGTCCACCTTATAAGTGAAACGTATGTACACACGTACGTGGAAGCCTAAGAACAATGAAACTACGAGGCTGTCTAAGCAGTACGTACCTATAAACAGAAAGCGTTACATAAAGTTCAGTATCGTCGGTTAAGAACGTGTATCCTAGTAATAAGATCTTAACACGTGACTATCCGTGAAATGTGCGAGAGATTTCCTCACTTTATTTAAAAAAAGAAGAAAAAATATTTTCAAGAAAGTAAAATATTAATACTGATCTTTCTAATTTATTTCAGCTTCATTTTTCTTATTTCGAAAGAAACTTCGTTAGTTAATAAATTCGAGGGATAATATTTTTCAGGCGAAAAGAAGTCAGCGGATCGAATGATTTTCCAGTTTATCGTGGAAGTCGTAGAGGATATGTTAGGATGGCAAACAGAACCATCATCCGGGACGCATTACATATTTACGTGATATTTCGCAAGCGAACCGTACTTATGAAAACCGAGGCGAAGTTCGCGGTTTTCACTGGTGCATCGATAACGATAAACATTCGTGAAAGAAGAACGTTTGAACGTCGTCGTCTACGTTCTACCTCTGGCTTTGCTCACTTCGTATTCTTTCGAGGTCGATAGGAAGCTCGATTCATCGAGAATGTTCAGCTCGCATCAAGTATTCATGCATTTATGCACGTTGCTCGATATTACATTTAATGTATGGAATGCAACGATGCAGTAGAAAGAAAGATATAGAAAGGAGAGACGGAGAGGGAGCAAGTTTTCCTGTCGCATTTTCCATGCGCATATTCGACACGGTGTAACGTATCAAACTATAATCCATAGATATCGCTATTAAAAAGCTATAAATTAAGCAATTTTATTGAGCCTCTGTAACGAATCGTTTAGCGTAGAACCTGATTGCTTTGTTAGAAATGTAATTGGTTTCCTGAATTATTTGTGCAAAGCTGTTTGGTTGTGATCGATGATAATCCATGGGCGAGTTTCACAGGAATTTAATTAGGTAATTTAACATAACGACAGACAGGACATGGTTAAATTGATCCTAAATAAAATAGGAAACAGTGGAAAAGAATTTCATGGAATATTTTTTTTAAGTGGGATCATTTTAATTCAATGCTGACGACAGAAATAAAAATTGAAGAATTCTTTATAATTCAATTGGTGAAGTATTAACAGAGGAGGATTAAAAATCCGTGAAAAACGAAACGACAAATCGTTACTCGATTTCTTCGACAAGTGATTTGAAAAGGGGGCGTGGGGGGAAAAAAAATAAAAGCTAAGCGACAGAAAGAGAATTTCCTGTCTCGATATAGCTCGGTCTCACAGTCAGAACAGCAGTTATTATTTGCTGTCGCCGGCGAAAGTCGTGAGGAAGCAGAAAACGGAAAATTATTCAACCGTGCCACGACACAATGAACAAAAAAACACTTCGTCGGTGTGGGTGGTGTGACAAGAGGGAAGAAGGGGTTCGCCAGGGGGTTCAATCTAACGATTTGTATTTACGTTGGCAGTCGGTGCACTCTCAACGATATCTTCTCACGTTTTTTTTTTTTGCAACCAATCACGTATTTAATTGATAAAACGTCGACGTTTCACTTGTTTCATTGCCATGGAGTACGCAGAATTATTTAATCCAAAATTATTAAATAATAAGTTCG